GGGGGAGGGGTCTACTCACCTGAACCTGTAACTCAGGAGGAGACATACAAGGAGGGGAAAGGTCAGTCCTTCTTAGTCAGTAGCACAGGGCTGGTCTTTATTTAACTTGAAACAACAGGACATGGCAGCAAGTTGTTTGTTTTTGCTCCCTTTCTTCTTCTTCTGCAAATAAATAAGGTTAATGACCTGGACCAGAAGGCTGTCATCACTGGTGCTGTTACAGACACCCTGTGATGTTGAATTACATTATGTAGCAAGTTGGAGGGGCTGGTCATCATATATATGAAGTGTTTGAGTAAGAGTAAACAGAGAAGCAGTTTGTTAGGCTAGACCATGTGAAGGTAAACAAGATGCATTTGCTTTGCATTTATGTTGCCTTAAGTTTCTATTTTTAATTTCAATTGCAGAGAAGAGTGAGGGAGAGGAAGTGGAGAAGGCCCAGCAGCCTGTGGAGGTCGTAAGGTCAGCCAACAAAACTCTCACCCAGAAGGCAGGCTACCTCAACATCAGGAGGTGAGCAGCACATCCTATACTACTCACACACCTCAACATCAGGAGGTGAGAAGCACATCCTATACTACTCACACACGTGCAAGGATTGGACCTGATAACTGAAGCATCAAGTTTCTTATTCTTACGACATTCAGACATGCATGCTACTGGGAGGGGTCACAATCCTTAGGATAGGATATGAACTCAAAGCTGTTTCTCACTCTTCATTGCGCTTGTCAAAAAGAGCTACATGTAGCTTGCACAGCGTGTGTAAAATCCTCTTACTCATAGACAATTCAGTCTCTATACCACTACATGCACTGGATAAAATATGGAACTAATTTCTAGATGTTTTGAGTGACATCCGTCAGTCTTCTTCAGCATCTCTAAAATGAACTGAAAGAGAGAGTCAACACATGTACATTGTACACGAGGAGCTGGAAAAAATGTTGGACAAAGGCTTGTCTCACTGCATTTGTTCAAAATTGTTCCCCAGCCGACATGGCCTGCTGCACCAGTGGGACAGGATGTACTTCTTCACACAAGGAGGGAACCTCATGAGTCAGGCCAGGAACCAGGTACATACATGTATACGCTAACTACAGTCTAACTCTAACCTCATGTCACAAGCCAGGAACCAGGTAGGCTCAGAATAGACTTACTTTTTTATTATTAAAATCTACTTATTCAAGGTGGATTGGTACATGTAGTCTTGTGGTTAGGCTTGTTTACTAAGAATCTAAAGGTACTGGGTTCAGATCTCCTGCAGGCCCCAGTTTTATGCCCTTTGGAAAAGCCATTGATAGCCTTTTAAACTTTCCCACTGCTATCTCCTATTTTAAAACACATACTATTAGACCAAATTTTGTGGGTTCCCTGAGTCTTCTTGACCAGTTTGGACTACCTATAGCTTGTGACAGGTTTCTGTGTTTCACCACTGCAGTTTGCAGGCAGCCTTGTGATGGACCTAGACAACACCACAGTAGAACCTACTGTATCCCATGTACCTAGATGTACTAACTTGTTACTACCCTGTACAGTTTGCAGGCAGCCTAGTGATGGACCTAGACAACACCACAGTAGAATCTACAGACGTGGACGACAGGAGGTTTGTCTTCCAGATCAAGTCACCCGAGAAAAAAGGGTAAGATATTTTATTTAGTAAATATCTATCAATCTGGGATACATTTGGGTCATCCCTTCAGACAAATTGGGCTGATTTCCAAGGGATCACAAGAGGTAATATAACAGCACAGTCACAATCAAACATAAGAGTGATAAGATTACATGTAGTAGTATCCAGGCTCTGATTATACTGCAGCAGTAGTCATCACACCACATAAAACAGTTTTCAATGTTACCTGCTCGAGTGCTGACTTTACTAATGTCGCATATTTTCCCCTGCTAGGCCCAAATATGTTCTTCAGGCTGACAGCGAAGCAGAACAGGAGGAGGTAAGATATAAGGCCAAGTTTTCAAATAAACAGACTTAGAAGGTGGTGTAAAAGATTATGTTAGTTTTTAAGCTGTAAATCATTCTTTATTAAAAAATTAAGAAATACGCAAACAGTCATTGATCATACATTTACCGTGTGATTTTCATGCAAGATGGAATATTAATTAAAGGTTTTTTGCAAGAGATATTTGATCTGTAAGCAGGTATTGAAATAATTTTCCTTTTTTCTTCAGTGGGTTTCAACACTACACAACATCTCACAAGGACTGTACCTCAAGGATAACCCACAGGTAAACAACTTCTTTACCTACATCAACACTTATCAAAGAAAACAATCTTCTTAAGCATTGCATAAACGATTTGATTATCTTTAATATTGGATTCAGTGTTCAATGATAAAGTACTGGAATGTTATATTTTGTCTTACCTCACCCTGACTCATTTGAATATAATATGAATAAACAAAGCTCTAACAAACAAACAAACTTAGCTATCCCATTATGAAATAAAGACTAAACTTTCCTTCCAACACTGGAATTAAATTGGGACTTACCCCAAATTTTTGGCTGACTCCTTCATCCTTCTACTCTTGGAACGTGATGTCAGAGACACGTGACCGTAGTAGCGGGTCATACGTGCCAGATAACTTGTGTCGCCCCCCGTCTCTGTTCAGTGTAGGTCTGTGAGCTCTAATTTAAACCGCTTCCTTCACTCCTCTTGCAAAGATACAGTTGATAACCTTCTCCTATCCTGTTGGTAACCTGTGGTTAACCTGTCATTAACAGGAGGCCATGGCACAGATGTTAGGAGTCCATCGACATTGCTAACCTGTTACTAACCTGTTACTAACCTGTTACTAACCTTTGCTAACCTGTTGCTAACTACATGTATTGCTAACCTGTTGTTAACCTGTTCCCTATCAGGAGGCCATGGCCCAGATGCTAGGAGTTGACAAGTCCATAGAAGTAGCAGAGGAGCAGGCGTTTACCGGCATGGGGGACCTGGCAGAGGCTCAGGCTCAGGAGCAGGAGGCAAAGGTGGAGGCAGCAGCAGCAGCCGCGGCAGCTTCAGCTGCAGCAGCTGCGAAAACCGAAGCTCCTGCAGTCAAGACTAAGGAGACCAAGGAGAAGAAGGGATTCGGGATTAATTTGATGTAAGTGTACTATTATTTTTTATTATGTTGAAGTTCATAGAAGAAAACCTTTTTTTTCTGCATTTCTTCTTTAGTTAATAGCAAATCAGGTCAATGACCAGGACCAGACATCTGCCACCATGGTAACTGGTGCTGTAAGAAACACCCTGTGGTGTTGGATTACAATATGTAGCAAGTGGCAGGAGAGAGTTTGATGGGGTGGTTACCAGGATATAGAGCTTGAAAGCACAATGATTGCACATGGTACAATGTATGGCAAAAACTATTAAACCGTGAGAATACAAAACAGTAATGTGTGTTTGAGCCCTACAATAATGGCAATGGCTAACAGTCCCTACATATACACATGTATGTGGCCTTTATGTGTTTCATAGTATTGCTACCACTTCATGTGCTGTAAATCCAGAAATTCAGAAATTAGGATGGAATTTGTTGGCCTGATAATATGCAGCTGTAGTTTTATTTTCCCACCTCCTTTTCCCCACCCCTCACCCCCACCCAGGGGCAGGTCCAGGAAAACCAGCGGTAGTAGCAGCAGCAGCAGTGGAGGGGGAGGGGGGAAGGATCCATCCTCTGGAGTCACCCCCTCCCTCTGGACATGATCGCAGCCACACCAATACAGTTTGAGATCATCCCAATGGGGGAGGAGCACCAGCAGGAGGAACAGCCGAAAGACGGACCTCCAAGGTGCTGTATCCACAGACTGTTCTATTTGAGTCTTTTTTTTTACCCTTTTTACCTTCGAATTCATAACATTTAACATTTTATATTAGGTTGGCCAGATTGAACAGTTATATTGACAATTGTTTAAGTATTTGGACTTCCGATTCCAAATCCTTTATAGTGCAGCTGTTTTGTATTTGAATTGTTGTATAAGTTTGGCACTGATGCAAATCTGACCAATAGATTACCCGTTGGAATTTCCCAAATAGATGAAATACATTTTGTCAAACTTGAAATTTCACTTTACAGAATGTAGCCACTCAGGCAAAGTGGTATCTTTAAAACAAACTCCTGCAATTCAGTTACTTGTCGAGCAGACACATACACAAATTTCCTTCTCTACATGCATGTTTTCTTAGAATGTCTCTTTGGTGTCAAATCTTGCCAGTCTTGTACTTCATTTGGAATATCTTGCAGCATACAATTGGAAAGTGGTATCTCATTCATATCACATTCTGAGAAACACTGCAATTTGAAGTCCCTGAAATTTACGAAAATTGTTTACATGTGTGTGTTTTATCTCTGAAAACACGACTGTTTGGTACATTTGTGAACCCCTTGTTTCTCCTTCCGTAAATCCTATGTAAACATTTCACTAAAGAAGAGTGTTAACACTTGAAAAATCTATCAAATTCTTATCCAGTCTAAAAGTTTCAAAACTATTATATCACGACTGTTTGGTGTCAGTGGTAACTAACGTTGCTATCCTGTGTGATGTACCTCCTGGCTTACACGGGGACTCTGTACTTTCCTCTCGCTGGTGTTGACTGGTCGGTTCTGTCTGCTATCTCTACTGTCTTGTGTTCACGGTATGTGGTCTGATCTTCTTGTCTATTACACGGTGTGAACCTGTACTTACTGTCTGTAATGTGGTGCTGAGACTGATCGTGACTGCTAACACTAGAAGTAACTGTTGTTCTGTGCTATTCAGTGTCACTTAACTGAAATTAATCCTTCTAGATATCGGCTATTCATATGTTTGAGATTGAAATTATAGCTGAGATGAAATCCTGCATGAGTGAAATTCTGAAAACTGTTAGAGTTAGAACATGCTTGTTGTAGACTTCATATCTTAGTAGTAGGGACAATAAACTAATGATTGTGACAATTTTCCTTTGTCTAAATTGGCATTGCTACATGTACGTAGTTGCACCAGCCCTGCCTGTGGGCTCTCGCATTGCTTTGCCAGTTTCCCTGTTGCAGCTTTAAGGTGTCAGAATTACCTTATTAGCAATGACACATTTCTGATTGTTTCCTCTCTGCTTCCCCCGTAGGCATGTCACACCCTTTGTCAGATTTGCATCAGTGCCGTCGGGTGAGTAGTCCTGTCTAGTGTGCATGTCTCTGCTCTTCCTCTGCCTTCAATGATGTTTTTTCTGTTTAATTAATGTTGTTTGCAGGAGGTTCAACCCGTTTGACCAGTCTGCGTCTGAGTTATATACCGACCTGGGTGAGTGGGACGGTTACACGTGTTTCATGTAGACTCCACCAGTCTCAAACTGCAAAATTTGATCATTCCAGTCTTTGTACAGTCATTGCTTGGAATGGACATGATCGGGATAGACTATTCTTACTAATGAAATATGTAGGGAATAGCTTAGCTTACATGTAGGCCTGTGCCCACTCTGGACTTTGGAACTGAAATTTTGTTAGTCTTATCTTGCATGTCTCTTCTTTTCTAGTTTTTTTTTTTTTTAACATATATTGTGTTAACGAGTTCTGTTAGTTCATTAGCGATGCTGAAGGAGAGTGAAGGTGAATGTCACTGGAAACGTCCGGAAATTATCTTCATAATTTATCCAGTAGATACAAACATGGAGTGGCTGATTATATTGCCAACAAGTTACCAAGCCTGCTCCTATCACCACTGACACTTCTCTCACCTGTATTATAGTGATACTAGTAACACAAGTTTAACAGATGTCTGTGTTTCAGGACCGGCCTTCACCAGAACATTTGCTGCAAGATTTCTGGGGTCGATGGAAGTCGGTGCAGACAGAGGTACGAAAAAAAACACACATTGTAATTTCATGTGTTTAAAGTTAAAGCTTTTGATCCAACACAAAAAATTCTCTTTTGACCAGTCACTCTGGTCTTCCTCAGTAGACTGACCCAGTGTTCTGAATTCTGCCCTTGTCAAATAAGCAAATGTGCCTGTAGAGGCACCATGAAGACAGTTCAGCACCAAGGACAGGGATGCACTACTTATGCTTGCAGTGTATGCAGTAGAATTGGTTTGTTGCTTGATTGAATGTGTTTTTTAGAAGTATTTTAGGTTTGGAAGTATAGAATTACTGACTTGAAATCATTTCAGCACCAAGGACAGGGATGGTAGTACACAGAGTTGCACTTACAGATATACCACAGAATAGATTTGTTGCTTGATTGAATGTGTTTTTTTAGAAATATTTTAGGTTTGGAAGTATAGAATTACTGACTTGAAATCATTTCAGCACCAAGGACAGGGATGTTGGTACACATTGTTGCACTTTTTTGTTTATTTGTTTATTTGTTTATTTAGATTTTTCACAAAGTGAAAGGGAGGGCAAAACAGGTGCGAAGCACCTTTGCTAGTTGCCCTCCCACATACAAAAACAACAAGAATGTACATTACACAGTCAACAATCTATAATACAAGTAGGGCACAAAATATCATATAAACATAATCAAGGTAACAACAATGAATGGAAGAGATGACCATATCGGAACGATATCTAGTGAGGTCTTGAGGCAATACAAGAGCTACATCCACACGAAGTGGTCCAGGTACATGGCAGATCAAGACTGTATTGAGTGTTGAATCTGTTGTAGGCTACTTTTGCCAGTTTATGTTTAAATGCTATGATATCAGACTGATGAGCGGCTCGCACACCAGTACCACGAAGGTCAGAACCTAACTTATTCCAGATAGTTACAAGTCTGGGAATGTAGGAGTGACTGAACGCTGACGTCTTAGATCTGACAGGTGTAAGCATGTACGACCTAAGACTCCTCGTGGGTCTGGTGGGAAGTGTGATATATTTCTCTATGATTGCTCTTGATTTGACAAATAACATTATATCGCATACCTCACGCCTACATGTAAGTGGCAACAGCCCTGTTGTTGCTAGCCTTTCCTTGTAGGTAAGGTGACTAGCCTGAGGGCCCAGAATGAATATGGTTGCCCGGCGTTGAACCCCTTCAATTAGAGACATAAATTTACGAGAATGTGGCGACCACAATGGGGAGCAATAGTCAAGAATGCTTCTGACCAGTGTGGTGTATAGAGCTTTCTTAACATCAGTGTTAGCATTGAAACCAACAGTCCGTTTGATGAAGCCAATCATGGAATTCGTCTTGGCAACCATTTTCACTATGTGGCTGTCCCACTGTAAGTCTGGCTGTACAATAACCCCTAAATCATTCATGCTGTCAACAGACGATACAATGGAATCAAAAACACAATATGTATACAGGACTGGCCTCTTAGAACGGGTCAAACGTAACAGCTTGCATTTGGAAGGGTGAAACGACATCTTCCATTTTAAACTCCAATTGCACATGGCTGTGACATCGTCCTGCAACTTGGAACAATCATTCATGTTACAAATTTCCCGAAAGCATTTGGAGTCATCTGCAAAAAGAGCAACGGAGGAGTATTCAACTGTACAGGGCAAGTCGTTTATGTATAAAAGAAAAAGAAAGGGCCCCAGAATGGAACCCTGGGGAACACCAGATGTTACTGGAAGCCAATGAGAATGGCAACCTTCAACCACCACCCTCTGACGACGGTTAGTGAGATATGAACTGAGCCAGGCTAAGAGATTCCCCCCAAAGCCAAATGCACTTACGCTTGCAGTGTATGCAGTAGAATAGATTTGTTGATTGATTGAATGTGCATGAACAATTATAGGTTTGGAAGTACAGAATTGCTGACTTGAAGGCAGTTCAGCACCAAGGAGAGATTTAATACAATTGATATAACATTGCTAGATTTTCACTGACAGAAAATTTGACCCAGCTTTTTGCTGGAAATTTGTGTTGAGTGTTTCACTATTGATGCTTCTTGCCTGTTGCCTTACTTGTAAATCCTGTGTTGTGTTTCCTGAGATGAGATGAACTGGTTTATTAAATCAAATACATCACACACTAAAAGTACAAAACCGTAGCCCTAAGGCTAAATTGCAGCATACTATCATAAATACTATAAAACACCTCCGAAGACTATTAAACTATCGTTTACATTTACATTACATTCCTGCAGGATCAGAGCTGATATTTGCAGCCATGCGGCAGATCATGGCAGCGAGGGCCATACACAGTATCTTCAGGACACAGGAACTACAGATTATCATCAATAACGACTCACTCAGGTGGGACATGTATTTGCTGTAATCTACCACTGGTTCAGAAGTCATTTTCTTAAATTGTAGGGTAGACTTTGGGCTTTAAATGTATGTACATGAATGAAATTATTTTACAATTTATTTTCTTTTTGGTAAATGATTGTTGTTATGGCTTGCATACATGTACATGTGATTATGTTTAAACTGCTGCTGTGTTGAATTGGACTAGATCAGTTCTTGTCATGTGAGTTTGATGAGTTTTTGTTTGTTGTTTCCAGACTGGTGGAGCAGGCCAACAATGTAGTCATGATGGAGGTAAGGGCTTACGTAGGCTGCCAGCCATGGATAATTGTCCTATATATGTCAGTTAATGCCATTTTGATCATTGCTAAAATTTACAGATATTATTTGTGTTAAAAAATAGATCTATAAAGTCAGCTTTGTTCGACAGTTTATATAGTAGAGTTGTCATTTCATCATGGTAGGGTAACTTCTACCCTTACTGTATGACTGTATATTGTCTGTTTATATGATGTGATTTTTCCTTATCGTTTTTTTTTTGTTGTTGTTGTTTTTCAGTTTGGTCTGGAGAATATTTCTATGTGTGCAGCACACAAGGAGAACACAAGGTAGGAACAGATACATGTAGCCTCATGATCAGCTGTGCTAGCTTTAATGTTAACCTACTGTTGGAATTCCAATGTATTGATGGTAAAAAGTAGTTTTTAGCTTGAAAGTTCATCTGTGATTAGAGCTGTGTACCGGTACGCAGTACCGATACTGTACCGGTAAAATTGATAAGGTACAGGTCCAAAATACCTAATCCCTCAGTACCGGTACTGTACCTAAACAATTTCACACCAATTTTATGCCTATTTGTGACCTCAAATGTGTAAATAGCTGGTTAACAATGGGTCCCTGTGTAAGGACAGTGTGTTCATGAAAACAAAAACATATATATAGCCTATATTTTATCTGAGCATTCGCCATAAACAAAGAATAAACCTTAACTATCAAGTTTATTTATGTTTTTTTTGTTATTGAAGGAGTTCCTACCTGTACCTAAACCTGTGTACCTGTACCTGTACCTGTACCTAAAATTTGTTTAGGTACACAGCTCTATCTGTGATGGTAGAAATCATTATGATACAGGTTTGAACTTTTGATTAATATCTTGTGTTGTTTGTGGTTTCCAGACTGTTTGGGTTCATTGCAAGAGGACCCAAGGTGGAAGGTGAAAGGTCGAAGTTCACCTGCCATGTATTTGAAGCGAATTCTCCAGGGACAGAGGTGAGAGGTCATAGTGTGATGTACTGTCAGTGATATTAAAATGTGACAAATGATATAATAGAACCTTACTATATAGACAAGCAACATTATTAGACTGTAATCCTCATTGTTTGTCTCCATGTATACTCACTTACTTTGTGTAGATTTTAACTTGTTCACTTGCAATTAGCCCATGGACACGAATTTGCAAAAAAACTTTACAAGACATTAAAATGTGTCCCTTTCTGCAATATAATCTACCACATTGAAGCAACAATCAGTATAAATTTTTTACTTAGTGTTGTATTTTATACTTTATACTGTGTGAAGCACAGTATCAGCTAAATCTGCTGCCTGGTGCTCCCCTGTGTATTTCTGCTGCAATGACAATTCAGCAGTAGTGTTATATGTATATAGTACCTAGCTAAATCCTACGTGATAACTGCATATTGTGCATAGATTTTAATTGTGCAATCGTCTTAGAATACGTCTTAATAATGTGTTTGCCTATGTTGTTTCATGTGTACAATGAAGAGTGTCACAAATCATTGTTTTTAATGATCTATGTACTGAGTATAAGGACGAAATTCGGGTATTTGCCCGCGAGAGCCTTACCGAATAAAAATTTGATTTGATTTGAATTTGATTAAAGAAAGAAACTTCTTATTTCCAGATCTGCCAGGCAGTTGCTGACGCCACACAGAACGTTCTCAAACAGAAGCAGGTACGGCCGTATCCCTGGGGACATTCTCTTAACACCTGACTATTTCTTATATACCACTTATTATCTAGTCAATTTTTGTTTCTAATTCTATAGCAATGCATGAAACATATGCTGGTGATCTTTCACAGTTTGCTGGAGAAACTTTGGCAATGCTAGATTATATGTTTCTATAAAACGCAGCAGCCTTACAGGACACTCTCCACAGCCATTGCTATCCTGTCATACTCTCCAAGCATAGGTTTGAGTTTTGACTTATTTTTGGCATGTTTTGCTTAAAAAAAGATACCTGTACCAGTGCTAAAAAGAAAGCCCGATAAAACAGCTTAAAAACATGCCAAAAATAAGCCAAAACCCAAACCTCTGCTTGGAGAGTATACAGGATAGCAATGGTTGTGGAGTGGCTTGCTGCATGGTGTTGCACAGTGTGGGAACTACATTATAATGCATGGTATTGCATAGTGTGGGCACTAATGCATGGTGCTGCACAGGCTTGTATTTAGTGGTCATTCCTTCTTCTGTAGGAGGAAGCCTCCGCTGAGAAGCAGAAGGAGATAGAAAATGTAAGTGTTGCGGTGATCTTGCTTTATCCAGAACCGTGCTTTATCCAGAACCGTGCTTTATCCAGAACCATGCTTTATCCAGAACCATGATGTATCCAGAACCATGCTTTATCCAGAACCATGCTTTATCCAGAACCATGATGTATCCAGAACCATGCTTTATCCAGAACCATGCTTTATCCAGAACCATGATGTATCCAGAACCATGCTTTATCCAGAACCATGCTTTATCCAGAACCATGATGTATCCAGAACCGTGCTTTATCCAGAACCATGCTTTATCCAGAACCATGATGTATCCAGAACCATGCTTTATCCAGAACCATGCTTTATCCAGAACCATGATGTATCCAGAACCATGATGTATCCAGAACCATGATGTATCCAGAACCATGATGTATCCAGAACCATGATGTATCCAGGCACACTGTTCTGGATAAGCCCACACATATCCAGAACCATGCCTGAGGCAAATCTACATTGTTGGATACATGGGGACTGTCCAGAACAGTGCTCAGGCATAGGGCTAGATAGGCACGGTTCTGGATACAATAGCTCTTACACATCTTTCTGTTGTTAGTGGCTGGGTGTAGCAGGGTAGTGGTGGTTAGATTGTAAAGTTGTTCTTATGGGCTGTACCTGAGATTAAAGGTTGGTGGCTAAGCATGCTACAGTTTTCAACTTCTGAATAAAAAATTAGCTTTCAAATTGCCATTTTGACATCATTCTTCACTTTAGCTGCTTAAATACATGAATGAATATCATCCCATTTTCCCACTTTTCAGAGCATCCTGGAGAACATGATGGCAACATCTGCAACCCCCCCTTCATCCCCGTCCAGTGGTTCCTCCCAGATGACCAACGGTACTGGTACCACCTCCACCAGCAGTCTCATGTAGGTACCAACAGCAGTACCTGCACTATTTTTGGCTGTCTCGTAGGTACCAACAGCAGTACAACCCACTGCAAACTGCACTATTCTCAGCAGTCAACAGCAGTCTCATCTAGGTACCTGCACTATTCTTGGCAGTCTCATGTACATAATAGTGTAGGTACCAACAGCAGTACCTGCACTGTTACCAGCAGTCTCATGTACAATGTAGGTTCTTGCAGCAGTACCTGCACTGTTCTCACCGCTTTCAGTGTACAGGAAAACTGTTAATGTTGAGTTACTGCAGGAGACAATGTTGATTTTAGGTGATTTTTGTTCCAACTCGCACTGTGTAACAATCCAAAGCTCCAGACTGTTCATGGTTGCTGCTGTGCGCTGCATGTTTGGGTGGCTGGTAGTTTGTAGACAGGTTTGCAGTTGGCTGGGTGATGCTGACTGTGGTATCCAGAACCGTGCCTGTCTAGCGCTGTGTCCAAATGGGTTATGGTTCAGATCTGGCACATAGGCATGTTTCTGTATATGTGTGGACAATCCAGAGCTGTGCCTGAGCATGATTCTGGATGCAACAGTGACTGCTCGCAGGCTGGATGTGTTTTGTGGGGCTGACTTTTTACACAGTGCATTAAGGATTTCTTGCTTTTTGCATCAGTGGTACCGGTGTAGGTGTTAGTTTGCTTTTGAGCAGTTAAAGGCAATTGCATTCTTCAAAAGCTCTTCAGTAGTGCCAAATCAAAATGACACTTCAAATGCAACTCTTTTTGCTGCTGCTGCACAAGTTTGGGTTAGTGTTACCCATGGTACCATTTATTCACCATTTTCAAATTATCAGGTTGTACAGACCCTCCTCCCCAACATATATGTGGCATAAGCTGTAACCATAATATCCTTCATAACACCAAATCACAACTACTTCCATCCTGCCCAATCACCTAGCACATGCTTCAGTTTTTAAGTTAAATTCCAGCTTGTTTAACCACAATGCATTGTTCATTGCAAAGATCACATCCCTGCCACTAACCATCAGACAATAATTTGCTTTGCAATAATAATTTTCAACATTCGACATAATAATTCTAACTACCACCATGACAACTAACATATCAACAAGAATCAGTAGGATCGAGACTAACCAAATGCATGGATCTCAGCCTATGCCACATCTATATTGGGGTTCGGGAATTGTTACCAAATCTCAGTCACACGTTTCGTTTTTCAGAAACTTGGATTGGGACCATCGCGAGTCCGAAGCTTAGCTTAAAGTCACAATGGGGCTTGTGGGCTGCCTCATACTGAAGAATATGCATGCTGAAACTTTTGGTCCCAATTTTGAAATTAGAAATTTGGATATGTACATACGCCAAAAAGCAGTTACTCCAGCAACTGGATATGATTTTTGAAAACGTCAGACGTTTCAGCTAGTATCCACTAGCTTTTCGTCAATGACTGAGAGACCAGAGGGGAAATGCAGGTTTATAAGCATTTTGTATATGTACATGTATGAGAACTCGCAATTCAGCCTTTGAGCTGCAAAGAGTTTGGAACAAATAATAAACCATTGTATAGCTAGATTTTCAATGATTGACTTTCATATAAAATAAATCATGAATTTTTGAACCCTGCATTACCTGGTTATCTAATAATAGGTATTGCCATAAATGTTCAATAATTGCTATGCTTAGGTACAAAAATAAGATCCTGCAGAAAGATGTGTGATTTTCAGGCAGTTTTTTGTCTGTCCTTTGCTAGTCAGGGAGTTGAACCAAAATCTGTATCTTAGGTTTTGACTGGGATTGTTGGTGCAGTACCATCATGTGTATATAGAGGGCGCAGCTGAATCAGTTTGATGTTTCATGTACTGAAAAGTTGATCCAGCAAAAATAGTTAAATGTGTTTGGTGATAAAATTGTGTTCTGTTGATTTCTCTGAATGACAGACATGTATGTAGAACTGTTTTAAAATGTCTTATTCAGGTGGTAATTTTGGAGGATGAAACTAACAGTTATTTGCCTGTAGATGCACTGTATAAAAGCCATAAGAAGACTGCAGGTATATTTGTAATTAAGAGGCTTGATGAAGAAACAAGTTACTACAGCACAGTATAATTGAAATACATGTAGGTCTCTTGTACACAAGGTGCTTAATATATACTATTATTAGATGTAAAGGCTTTAAATTTGCCAATGGTTTGTCTGTAGTTAGTTAACTGAGTAAACTTTGGTTTTTAGGACAGTCACTATACATGTATATTTCAAAATTTTCATGTCTTGAGTGTTTCTACTCATCAGAAAAAACTTAAGATTTGAATATAGATACGACAGTTGAAAGTAAGTGTTACAATAAGGATAAAACAGTAGTGTTTGTATCAGTTGCATACTTAGACAAACACAGTTATAATTATTATGTAAGTTTGACTCATATACAAATGTATGAAGGAAAACTTTCCAAAGTTTCGCCTATCCTTTCCAGAACTTTGCTGTATCATAGCCAAGATGAACAATGTGATTTACATGTATTCTACATGGTTATATGAGACTGGGTGAAACATTGTAACAGTTGTATTCCAGAAGGTTGTGGGAGGGTCTTTACTACAGACACTTTTGGAGTAATAACTATTACACATCGATGAAGGTTTGACTAGCCTAGGTGCCATCCGATTTGTAACGGCTACCCCGAAAAAAAAATTTCGGGGTAGCTGGTACAAATCGGATGGCATCCAGGCTAGGTTTGACATCCAAGTAATAAGATATGCCAAAAAACAGTTCGTTGAGTAAGTATTGCATATTAATTATAGATATATTTTATCCTGTCTTGAACTCTTGAAGAAGAAACGTGAACTGAGTTCCTAAGGTAAAATAGTTCTTAAAAATTGTATATTTTAATCATGTTTGTTTGCCTTTGAGACTACTACAGTAAAATGTACATGTTGATGTTTGAATATGGTAATTTTTGAAGAATTTTTTGCACCTGAAATAATTAATAAGTTGAGGCTTTATAGAAATTGCCACCTCTAAGGGAGAATTGTGTGAAGGGAGCAGATTGGTGAAGGTATTTAGAGCAAGACCAACTTTTTGTATAATATGCTGAAAATTATGTGTGTGTAAGCGAGGAATTAAGGGTGTTTTGGTAAGAATGCATTGTACAGAAGTTTGGGTAATGGGTATGGTTATATAATATTATATATTAAGTGAATTTGAGGTTTTGAGCTTTACATTTGAAACAAGGTGTTGGGGTTGCATATTAAGGTAACAAACGTGGGAGCTGTATTTTGTGAAAGGGAAACAAGAATATATAAAATTTGACTGAAAAGGACTTATAATGGTTGTTTGTGTGACTTGATCAACATACAGTGTACAATGCATGTATCTGTTATTCATTACTTGGCATGATTAATCCTTTTCTTGAGTTGGAAATGATCTGAACACTATTCCAGGCATCCAGCTCCAGTATACAAGGTTGATGTGCCAAGCTTTACATGTATGACTGTGGTATCTGTTGTCAGGTCTCATGGATGACTACAAGAAATTGTACTTATCAAGGAATGAGCTATCCACCTCTTCTGTGACGTGGTGGTGGTTGCAATTTTTTTTCTTTTTTTACTTAGTGGTCGCCAGGTAACACGGCCATTAGGCCACTTCAAGGTTGGTTAACCACCTGAATGGTTTCACCTGAATGGTATGACCACTCACCCTGGTTACGGGTTACCGAGTAGAACTGTAACAGCACCTCTTCTCCCTGAGTCAGAAACATCAGGATTGAGACCAGCCCAATTTCTCACAAGTAGTGAGGACTAACTGACCCAATAGGAGAAGCAGGGGTTACGAGGCTGGTCGGGAAAATTCCCTACCCCCATTTTAAACTTGCTGTGTAAATGTTTAAAAGTGTTGGAAATGAAACCTTTCTTTTCTTTTGCAGTGAACATTAATTAGGATAGCCTCCCCAATATAAGAACTCACATCCCTTATGTGTGTGTTTGTGTGTGTGTGTGGGAGGGGGGGGGGGCGATTAAAAGAGTGAGACAGAATTTACGTGTGTATTGACCCCGTGGCAGACTGGTTTAAATCAAATAAACACCCAAATTAGATTTAATCATTTATTCTGAACCAACTGTGAACAGCTGACAGCTACTCTCAATCTTCTGTATCAAAACATTATGTACAATTCTCAAACAAGTCAACATAAATAGAGCTAGTATATAAGTACATCACATACATAAGCATTGAACACTCAGTACTTTATAGTAGAATAAGGTAGTATGACAACATACAATGTAGACCACACTTTTAATACACTATTTTCCTGCTTCTGTATATCGACAAAGCAGACGCAAATGTACATCTCTACCCCTAAGGAAAATATAATATTGAAGAAGGAGAAATCTCTTTTGTATCAGGTACATTGTAGATTTTTTGAAAACTTTAGTATGTTTGATGCAATGTTTGATACAAAATCGGTACAGATAGACAAGTAATGCAGCGTGCCAAAATTTACTGATGTACCCAATCCCAACCTCTCCAATCTCCAAATGACCACTTTTACTGGTGACTGTCTGTTGCAGTTGGCTCGTGTTTCATCTATTTGTTGACAAGTACCCACGACTCTACAAAGTTTCAGACCAGCAAGCACCAGACAACAAACAACACATTTGGAAACGGGGTAGCGATGGTATTCGTGGACACTAGGGAATCTCGTGGTATATTTTCGGTAAAGACCATGTCCAGAAGTTGCCGATTTCATTTCTACAGGTCAACTTTGTCGTTTGCGTCTAAACCGAATAGTTTAGTTTATTTGTTGAGGTTGTTTCGTAATGGATGAAAATTTAAAGAGGTTTAAATTGCACGAAACTGCATTTACCCGTCCAAGGAAAGGCATGCGTCTGACAGAAACCTTGTCCAAGAAGTTTCCAATTTTTGTATACTGGTCATCTTTGTCATTTACATCTAAACAAAATAATTTCGTTTATTTGTCGAGGTTGTCTCGTAATTGATGAAAATAGCCTCTTTAAATTTAGGTTTAAATTGCATCCAAGGAAAGGCATGTGTGTGACAGAAGTGTGAAAAAGTCTTGGAGGTCCGCGCGATCCTTTCTGTCTTGAGATATCCAAATAGCTGAAGCGCGAATTTTCCTTGTTTTTTCCTTATGCTGTACCAATCTGCTGGCTTTGTACATGTAGGTGATCTTGTCAAGTTTGATTTTCCGTGTGAATGTAAATTTGATGACGCGTATAAAAGGTGTGAAAAAGCCATGTTTTCAAATTTGTGTAGTCATTAGGCAACAAGAAAACACACAAGGCAGAAAGAAGATCGGCCAAAGTATCAGCCCTTCGGTCAGAAAACTGGTCTGGTGAATGCTCATAATAATAATAACTATTAATATCATGTACCGATGAAAGACAGATGAGAATGGAAAAACCAAGTGAGATGTCAATATCTACCGTTTCATACTGCAGACTTAATGTATTGATTTATACAACCTTTGTTTTTCAATAGACTAAGTGGTCATCAATATAATGGGTTGAAAACTGAAGTTTCCGTACAGACTATTAAGTTAAGTCGGTTTCTATATAGTTTAGTCTCTGTAGACACAGAGGTGCTTCCATTAGTTACAACACATGGTGAAAATCTACTCTTATTCCATAATGAGGAACTATATGTAAAAGTATATGTTAAATCCCATTCATTGATGACCACCCTATAGGAGCAATAGCCTTAGATGCAGAAGATTTCAATAGAATCGTAGCCGGTAGATTTTATTGAAGTCGTTTTGGATCTAAGGATTATACTCCTGTAGGTTATACGGCAGCTCTGTCTTATCTAGTGGTTTCCTGAAGTCGTTTTCGGACAGATTTAATGACCTGAGCGCAGACAGCCGTCTCAGCGACCCTGGCGCTATTCTAACCTCTGCTAAGTAGTTGTTGCTCAAGTCCAGCGCCTTTAGAAAAGGTAGTCCCATGAATGTATCCTCCTGGATACTCTCAATTCCGTTATTGTTCAGGTATAAAAACTCCAGACTTCTGGGTAGATTCGGTGGTACTTCCTCCAGGTAGTTGTGAGACAGGTCCAGATGCTTCAGTTCGCCGAGATGGGCGAATATCTGATGCGGGAAGTACCTGTAGTAGTAAATGGTTTATTGATTTTAAAGAAGAAGTCAAACCCAGTAAAACTATAGCTTGTACCATGTATGTATAATAGTATAGCTTGTACCATGTATGTATAATAAGTATAGTATAATGTTACGGACGTAGATATAGTCTCACATACCACTGTATTTTCTTTCTTTTGTTGCTGGTAACTGCAATTAGCCCTCGGGCATGTATTTGCAATAAACTTTCCATATTGATACACAAGGAACAAATCGGCCTTGCAGCAATAGCTGATGTGCCGAGGTTGACAATCATCAAGTTCAGTAAAACCAATAAAAAAAGTATATATTATAGTACATGTATATACAATGTTCAATATTGTCGACGTGATTAACAATACTAAATATATAACGCGGTGGTTGGAGATCAGCACAATTAAAAAGCAGCGTTATTGGAGTCATTACAGGAAAGGCTGCTCTAGAACAGTTCATAACAGTTCAATTTTAAAGTCCAAGCAAAGTACCTGCTGGTGAGTCTGTTGTTCCCCAGGACCAGCCACTGTAGTTTGCCCATGTGGGACATGTCCGCCTTCACGTCTGTGATATAGTTCTGCTGGAGGAACAGGTACCGTAAGTTGCCCGGCAGTTCGCTCGGTACCGTGTTCAGGTAGTTCCCGCTTAAGTCCAGGGTGTTGAGATAGTCCAGGTTGTAGAAAACCTGCAGATCGAGAAAAAATGTTCAGATTATGCATGATGTACAAAATGACTGATAAACGTCCAGAAAAATGTCCAGACTATGCATGATGTCTGATTATTGATCGACTGATAAATTTGTGGAAGTACCAGCCAACTACTAATAAATGTAAGTACCTAATACCAGCTCAGAAAAGAATAAGAAATAGCCTTTAGTACCAGAGTTATTAACCAAGCATTTGTCGTTTTCCCTAGAAAAAAGTCGTTTTCCCCAGAACTATCGTAGAGTGGAGCTCGCTGCATTCAAGTACAGTAGGGACATCACCGATATCGCTGGATAGATTTGTAAACAAATTGGTGGACGTACCAACCAACTACTAAGTATTTGGTACTAGCTCAGAACTATTGTAGAGGCAAAATATCGTAGAGTGGTACTCGTTGCCACCAAGTACGGGGGACACTAAATAGTTAGATAGCTTTAAACAGGGCTTAGATGTACAAACTCCATATACCGACCTGCTGCGGCACGGCGAAGTTGCTGAGGCTGTTATTTGCCAGGTGAATCTCCGTGATCTTGGGCGTAATGTGAAAAACGTTATTCGGGATCATGGAGATGAGGTTGTTGGACAGCTTCAGAATCTCCAGCTTCCCCGGCAGATGTTCCGGCACGCTCTCTATATTGTTTCCGTCCAGATCCAGGTGCGTGATCTCGCGCAGATCGTCGAAGATCTTGGGCGGGATCCCGTGAAGGGTGACGTTGTTCCAGGCGACGGACAGCTTTTGCAGGTTTTCTAAGCTCTTCAGCTTGGACCGGTCCAGAGTGGCGATGCCGTTTCTGTCCAGGTTGAGGTCTTCCAGAGTCTTCGGGAGTCCGTACGGCACGGATTTGAGAGAGTTGTTAGAGAGGTACAGCCGAGTAAGTTTGTGCAGACCTGTGAAGATACAGAAAAAAGTCAGATATACCTTACATAGCGCCTCTTCTAAACAGTACAAAAATGTAAACTTATCGATCTTGCAAGCTCATCTGTGTTGGTAGAAGCATGGAGGTAGAAAAACTCCATGGTAGAAGTCATAATGAAACAAGTTTGAACTGCAATTGCCAGGTGGAGTTGTACAGTCGAACAATTTTGGCTGCCAGTCATGCTTCCGAAAATAGTTTCATCAGGTTGGTTACGTATATACGTATAGGTTATAGGGTTTTCTTATACACAACCAAAAATGCCTACCTTAGCAAGTTTCTACCTATATCCTACCAGTTATGCTGTTTTTTTATACAACTGAACCAATAAACAAAAACAGACCTGCGAAGGATCCGGAGTGAATGCCGTGGTCCGGCAGACTGTTGTTGTTAAGAGACAGCAGCTGGAGTCTGTGCAGGCCCTGGAAGCACTTCGGTGGCAGGAAGTCTATCTTGTTATCATCCAACACCAGATGCGTTAGACTCTGTGGCATGTTTTTGGGTACAAACAAAAGTTGGTTCCCGGCGAGGCTGAGAAAGCGTAGCGAACGCAGCCCCTGGAATGAGTTTGTCTCGATACCGCTGTCCCTGAGCAGGTTGCGTTCGATGTACAGCCGCCGCAGTTTGCCGTGCCTGTCAAATATCCCCGTCGGAATCATGGAAATGTGGTTATGGTTTAGATACAAGTAGAGCAACGTGGTGGGGAGGTGGGCCGGCACGCTGGAGATCAGGTTATTAGAGAGGTAGATGTACGTGAGGTTCTGAATCCCCAGGAAAGATCCCTGATCGAGACCCTCGTTTTTGAGTGTATTTCCGTGCAGATCTAACAACTGGAGGTGTGGAAGTCCCCAGAAAGTACAAGACGGAACCGCCTGAATCCGGTTCGCTTCTAAAAACAAGTTCCTGGTGTCCGAGAACAGGTTCACCGGGATTTTTTCCATCTCTGTCCGGATGCAGTCGATGACTTGGTGCGTGCATCTGCAGCGTTTCGGGCAGGCGGTTTTGGAGTCCGGGTAGGCGTCCGGGCAGGCCGGCACGGTCGGGCGTGGCTGTTCTATCCCCGCATCGGCGTTATCCACGATAGACGGGTAGGTCGGGTACGGCTGGAGCGGTATTGTCGGAGTAGTCGCCAGGTTTTCATTGTTCCCGTTTCTGCCAATCGTACTGCAGAAGGCTTCTGCAGGGAAGGGTTCCTCTTGCCCGCGCGACTCGTAACACCCGAGCCGGTCGGTGAACGGAATCGTGACCGTACGGCTGGCTAGCAAGGCTGTATACAGCTCACAAAACTGCCGGTTACACCTGTACGGGTTCCCGCGGAGAGACAGGGTCCCCAGCGACGGTAGACCTCGCGACAATGCACGGAACCGCTCCGGAGGGATGCCCATGATGTAATTATTGTCCAGGTGCAGAACTTTCAGACTGTCTGGCAGAGTGTCTGGCGAAGGGATCTGGGTTAACTTGTTATCCGTGAGGACCAGGAATTTGAGCCCGATGAGTTCGGAGAAAGGCGCCTCAGACAAGCCGCTGAGCGTGATCTTGTTGTTCTTGATGTCCAGAACCTCCACTCCCTGTATGAATGAATGAATGAATCAATCAATCAATTTTTATTTATGCTGAGGTCACATTTCCAAACCGGGGCCCGGCCGGGCTGTCTTATGGAAAGAAAAGTACGATATAAAAGACAAGGAAACACAGAAAAGTTTTCGATAGTAATCATGGGCAATATTCCTGTATATTCGTGATATAAATTGTTAGTTTTTCGTTCACACAAACAGCCCGGCCGGGCCCCGGTTTGGAAATGTGACCTAAGCATTACGTGTTTTGGGACTTTTGTCGCCCAGCCCATATGGGCTTGTACGACACCAGAACATAAACATGAATATAAACATAGGTACAGAAATCATAGAAACATAAATCCAAGTCCGAATCAAAAGTCAGACTGGAGACATCAAATGAAATGAAATTAAAGAACATAATTGGTACATAAAAGTCAAATGTGAATGAAGTCCACACAAAAGTACATAAATTCATCTCAAAAGTACCTAAATTTAACTCAAAGGTATATAAAGTCCACTCAAAAGTACATAAATTCAACTCAACAGTATATAAATCCAACTCAAAAATACATAAATTCAACTTTATAGTGCATAAATTCAACTCAAAAGCACATAAAACATAAAGTCAAATGAACCTGTAAATGCGCGACTGATTGTGCAGATATTTCCTCTAGGTAGTTGTCTGCGAGGGAGAGGTGGCGGGTCCCGGGCGGGATGTTGCCGGGGAACGCGCGGAGCCCGATGCCGCTGCAGTCCACGAACCCGTCCGCCACGTTACAGAGGCAGCCGGTCGGGCAGCTGGGAGGGAGCTCGGCGCCCGTGTCGTCTGTGGTTGTCATGGTTACAGCCGTGGTCTCCGCCGGCTCTTCGTTACAGTTGGTCGTCATGCCCCACCTAGGGCGGGAAATACATGTATACAGCTGAGCAAACTCATAAATGATTTACGTTTACTTATTCACCGATCAACTTAATATGTACACAATCACGTAACTCTTGGTTGATCTGGGACAGATTTGGCGGTTTCTATCACCTCTAGGACCGTGCCTATCTGGCTCTATGCCTGAATAGGTTTGGATTAGGATCAGGCACGGTTCTGGATAGTTTCCGCGTATCGAAGAACGTAGATCTTCCCCAGACACGGTTCTGGATACGCGTGGACTATCCAGTACCGTATCTAAATAAGGTTCTGGAGAAAGCACGGTTCTGGATACGTGAGGACTATCCAGAACCGAGCCTGAGCACGGTTCTGGATACAACATTTTCCACTAAAACCACTTACCTGAGCAGCCTCGTGTTGCGGAACTCTTCAGGTGAATCACAGACGATCCTTCCCCTGTAGGGCACATGGACCGCCCCGCTGTGGATCCACTGGATCAGCCGGCACAGGTCCCGGTCACACCTAGGTAAGTCAATAGAGCGTAGTTGTTATGTTGTTAGTAGTGTTCCAAGGCGTCCAATGCGATTTCAGAGCAGCAAAACTGGAAAAATAATCTGAATAAGGCCATCTTTGTGGTATTGACACATACTACTTCACATTAGCACATCTCAATCAGTATTTCAAACTTTGCATATTCAAAACTGCAGAAACAAGCCCCACGACGAGTCCTTTATCTTATGGGCCTTCCACTGACCATTTTCCGTCAGAATTTTGGTAATGATTCCTTCATGAGGGTCAATATACATTGGCTAATGGAGTTCCTAATATTGTTTGTTGTTGTTGTTGTCCTTGCTTAACGTCTGTTATGTCGCTAGACGTGGTCTCTGGGTGCTCAGTTTTTCACTTGGTTCAGTTCAGAGTCAGTTGTCTCTCAAGCTATTAACACTTGGTGAGTTGTGCTTGTGTGGTGCTGGGAGTGTTTCTAGGAGAGCACGTCAAATCGGCGCGTATTCTCGATGTACCGAGAAATGGCTAAGTACATAAAATACAATAAACATAAAAAACATAAGCACCTCCACGGGTTCTCATGCAGCGTGAGCGTCGGCAGCTTGGCGGGGTTCTCAAAGATCCGCGACAGGATCCTGCTGGGTAAGGCGGAGACGCGGTTCGCGTGCAGCTCCAGGTAGTACAGTTTTGGCGGGAGTTTCTCAGGGACAGACGTCAGCTCGTTGTCCGACAGGAACAGGTACTCTAAGGAGGACAGTCGCTGGAAGAAGCCGTCCTGGATCCCGGAGTCTGTGATGCCGTTACCCTGCAGCTCCAGAACCTTATGGTAATGATAATAATTATAAAAATAACAGTATTAATAACAATATTAATAATAACAATAATAATCAGGAGGAGAGTCTCTGGAAGAATCCGTCCTGGATGCCGGAGTCTGTGATGCCGTTTCCCTGCAGCTCCAGAACCTTATAATGATAATAATGATAATTATAGAAATAACAGTATTAATAACAATCTTAATAATAACGATAATAATCAGGAGGAGAGTCTCTGGAAGAAGCCGTCCTGGATCCCAGAGTCTGTGATGCCGTTTCCCTGCAGCTCCAGAACCTTATGGTAATGATAATGATAATAATGATAATAATAATGATAATAATGATAATAATAATGATGATAATAATGATGATGATGATGATGATAATGATAATAATGATGATAATAATGATGATGATGATAATGATGATAATGATAATAATGATAGTAATGATAATGATGATAATAATGATAATAATGATAATAATGATAATAATGATGATAATGATAATAATGATGATAATGATAATAATGATAATAATGATAATGATGATAATGATAATAATGATAATGATGATAATAATGATAATAATGATAATAATGATAATGATAAATGATTTATTACTCAAACATTAATAGCGCTGAATTGATGTGGGGTTTACAATCACATAATACACATGAAACTTGACACTGTAAGGATTTTGGACACTGAACAAGGCTATTTCCTGAGAGGGGTGAAAGAGGCTATTTACATCACGGCCCATCACCCTTCACTTAACCGCGACGGGGGCCGACATCGTCTACCCCCTACCTTTAACCCAGTGTTGACGTCACTCTTCAAAGAAGCCACGTGACAAGCCTCAATCGGTCAGTCTACTGAGGAAGACCAGAGTGACTGGTCGAAAACTCTAGGTGAGAGAATTTTTGTGTTGGATCGAAAGTTTTAACTCTAAACACACATGGAACATATTTGTTTTTGGCACACAGACAGATTAGCCGAAGAGGCTCGGTGGGCGTCACTCCACCGTACAGGGAGGGAACTCGTGTAAAGTGCCTTTCCCAAGGGCACAACGTTTGGCTACGGTGAGTATCGAACCCGGGACCTGTTGGTTCCGAGTCCAACGCTCTAACCGTTGCACCACCGACGCCACCTAATCGCAATTGCAGCCTTTTATAGCGCTGAATTGATGCAAGGTTTACAATCACATAATGCACATGATATGTATAACATGTATAACATATTTGCTTCACACACACCTTGAGGCTGGGCAGGGTTGTTTGTTTGTTTGTTTGTACACACCTTGAGGCTAGGCAGGTCCCTCAGGTCGTCCTGTCCGACGTACCGGATCTGGTTCTGCGCCAGGTTCAGGTGGCGGGTTCTCACAGGCAGCTTGGCGGGAGGGCTGGTCAGACCTGGACGGGTGCATATGCGGACAATATGGGTTTATCTGTAAAACCTTGTCTATAGACTTTGTACGGCTATATGTTTGTGGACTTGGCAGGACCTCGATCATGTAACCTGTACATGCATCTATTTCTCTTCAAAGTGTTCGCCTCGGAATAAAAAGGTCGGACCGTCCCATGTAAAACCTCTGCCATATCACCGATCTTGTGCCCTTGGGAAAGACACTTTACACGACTTTCCTCACTTAACCCAAGTAAAAATGAGTATGTCTGTTGTCCGTGCGTTTTTCTGTGTTGGAGTATTGTAGTAAATGTTGGAATAGAAAACAAAGAAGCAAACCTGCATTCGCACAGTTGACGTAACCCTCGGTTGTGCATGCGCACATGGATGGGCAATCCTTTGTTCTGGCGGACGTTGACCCTGATCCGGTGTCCGTAGCTGCTGTAGTGGTGGCGGGAGTTGTCATGGTAACGTTTGCGTCATCAGGAGACGGGAAACCCTCGTCCGACTCACAGAACTGCTGGATGTACGGCCCCATCACCGCAAGGTCCTTCAGGTTAGGCGGCGTGCTGCACAGCATCTGTACAAGGTTCAAGACAGTTGGTACAATATTCCTCAATCAGTGAGGATTTGAAGAGGTAAAAAATCATATACCTCCAAATTTTCGATGTCTACTGCACGTGATGATCACGGGGGTATGTGTTTTTATGTTTATCGAAGGAAAATTGTTTTTGCTCAGTTTCTTCTTCTTCTCCAAACAAATAAGGCCAATGACCTGAACCAGACGTCTATCATCATGGTACCTAGTGTTGGGTTACATCGTGTAACCATATCCGGAGGTAAATGTTACGTTTCTAGTTACATGTTCAATAGTTTTATGTTTCGTCTGATAATTTACGTGTGAAAGACTCAATAATTACATAATGATTGTTACCTTCTCCGGGTAGGGCAGGCGGATGGCTCCCGAGTCCAGCAGCTTGCGAAGCGTGCAGACGTCTGGGTCGCAATGCCACGGGTTATTCTCTAAGGCAATCCAGTTCAGCGACGGCACGTTCCTCAAAAGCTCCGACAACATGTCCTCTCTTACTCCAGTTATCTGGTTCCCCTGGACGTCTAAGTAGTATGTTGATGATGGAACGTACATCGGGATGCTGGTGAATCGGTTCTTACTCAGGTACAAGTACCGCAGCTTCGTCAAGGCAGAGAAGGTCGTGTCGTCTATACTGTCAAATGTTAGCAGGTTGGTAGTGAGATCTAGCACCTGCAGGTTTGGCAACCCGGCAAACTCGGAGGGGTTGAGTACGGAAATGTTGTTATGGTCCAGGAAGAGGCTGGCCGTGGTTTCTGGAAGCGGGGTTGGGATGGTGTTAAGGCCAGCGTGGCTACAGTAGACAGAGTTATCGTCTCTACAGCTGCAGTTGGACGGGCACAGAGTGTCGTTTGCTACAGGCGTGGTCGGCTGGAGCTCGGGAACCTGAAACCGATTATTCTTATTAGTATTTTAAATATGTTTAAAGTTAAAACTTTTGATCCAACGCAATAATGTTCTCTCATTACCTAGAGCTTTCGACCAGGCACTCTGGTCTTCCTCAGTAGACTGACCCAGTGAGGCTTGTCACGTGGCTTCTTTGAAGTGTGACGTCAACACTGGGTCAAAGGCATCTGGTAGTCGATGTCGGCCCCCGTCGCGGTTGAGTGCGAGAACTTCATTGTGTTGGATCAAAAGTTTTAACTTTAAACATGTAACTATAGTATTTTAATACGTTGTCATGAACCAAAGGGCATGTTTGCATCTATCACTCACTTCATTTTAAGTTTGTTACGTTTTATCGTCACACCACACGATTTTTATTAATAAGAATCAATTATATAAGTTTAGAATCCAAACAACTATCTACACTATTTACTCTTCCGTATAGGTTTTGATCTATGCATGCAGAAAAAATGCTAGTTTATGTCTTGTTTAGGCGCCACTAACCTGGGTTGGCTTCGTGTCAGTGGAAACACAAATCTTACTGATAGACACGCTTCTGACCGGCCTCCACCTTTCCGAAGCTGGGGACCCGCACTGAATCTCGTCCTGGAAGGGCACTTCGACTGTCCCCTGCACTAACCACTTATACAATCCGCAGAACTTCGGGCCTTTACACTTCCAGGGGTTGGATTGCAGCGTGCAGTAGGAGAGGGAGGGGAGATCGTCTAGTATCTCGCGCGGTAAGGTTGTCAGGTTGCAGTTATCCAGCTCCAGATGCTGTAAATTTTTCAACGTGGAAAGAGAAGTTCTGTGTACGGACGAAAGTTGCACGTTTCCGGACAGCTGGAGGGTTTTGAGAGAAGGAATCTGGTGGAAGATCCGTTTCCCGAGTTTCTTGAGCCGCATGTCGCGTATGTCCAGATGTTCCAGCGCTGGGAAGTGGTATAAAGACTTCTTGGAGATGTGTTTGACGGGGTTTGCCCTCATGGTGAGGTTTTTGAGCGAGCGGAGGGACTGGATCTCCTTGTTCGGCATGATGGTGAGCCGGTTGTTGTCCAGGTGAAGCGAGGTCAGGTTGTCCATGCCCGTCAGCGACGCCCGCTCCAGTCGCCGCAGGCCCGTGCTCCTCATGTACAGAACCTGCAGATTTCAAAAAAAAGATGAGTAGAGACACTCTTTTTACACAACCAAGTCTTTTATTCAGCCGACGTTTCGGTGACCGTCTGTCACCTTCCTCAGGGCAATTCTGACTGGTTCACAGGCGTCGCTTCTATAGTAAACTGGTCAGAATTTCCCTGAGGAAGGTAACAGGTCACCGAAACGTTGGCTGGAAATAAAAGACTTTGTTGTGTAAAAAGAGTCTCTTTACTCAGTTACTTACCGACCTGATGAAACTATTCACGGAAGAAAAGATACTTTAACATTAGTAGATAGTATTACCTTCAGATTCTCGAAGTCCGCGAAGGTTTCCGGCCTGATCCGCGAAATCTTGTTTCCCGATAGATCCAGCACCTCCAGCGTCTCTCCGAGGGACTGTGTCTCCTCCGGGAATACGGAGAATTTGTTGTAGGAGAGGTTCAGATGTTTCAGCTGCCCCAGCCCGTAGAAGGATCCCGACACAAGGCTGTCGTGGGCAAGCTCGTTGTTCTCGAGGTTCAGCCGCTCTAGGTTGGGCAGGTTCACGAAAGTGCCGGGTGGGATGGACCCGATCATGTTATTACCTGTGTACGAGAGTAGCGTTGAAGAGGTTTATCAGTCACGGAAAAGTAACAGTTTAGTAGAATATTGTTCAATCAGTGACTTTCTGAAAGGTAGAAACACGTACTTTCAAAAGGAGGCGGGGGAGGCCAGAAGATCCGCACAAGTCTCGATCTACTCTCGTGTTCTCGCGAGACTAGGTCACTCCGTGATCAAGGCTTGTCACGTGGCTTCTTTGAAGTGTGACGGGGGCCGACATCGTCTACCAGATACCTTTGAGTTGACCCAGTGTTGACGTCACACTTCAAAGAAGCCACGTGACAAGCTTCAGTGGGTCAGTCTACTGAGGAAGACCAGAGTGACTGGTCGAAAGCTCTAGGTGAGAGAACTTTTTGTGTTGGCTCTAAAGTTTTAACTTTAAACATGTAACTATTATGATAACTTTTATGATGAACTTTTATGATAACAAATTTCTGATTATTACCCAGATCCAGGCTCCTTGTCTGGTAAGGAAACGTCGTCAGGATTTCGCGCAGGCCTCGGTTCTTACAGTCCACGGCCTGACCCTGACAGGCGCAGCTGATCGGACACTCCACAAGCGCGATCGCGACGCTGCGGGACTCCTCGATATTCGCCGGCCGGCTGCGACGACATGGAAGCCCTAGGGCGCCCTGGGAAGAACAAGAAGAGCTTTATTGCACGACGATTGCACATGGTACAATGTATGGCAAAACAAATAAAAAAAAGTACACAAAAATCCTCAAACAACGAGGGCTAGCACAAGTATGTCTTTGATAGTGTTACCATCGAGTGGTCTTTTATATTATCTTGAAAGTTCATCCGTGTTGGTAGAAGTCATTATGAAACAAGTTTGAACTGCAATTTCCAACACAATGTCAACAGAGACGGGGGGCGCCACAGAATTTCTGCAACCTATGATCCACTGCTCACTGAGTCACGTGTGTTATCTGCGTGACGTCACGGAAGCGGTGGATTGCTCATTCCCTGCAAGCCTGACAAAGACTTTAGTTGTACAGTCGAAAATTTGGGTTAGACGAATTTCCTGTGTTGGATATTGCAGTTAAAACTTGTTTCATAAGGCAGTCTTTTATATATTTACCTGTAGCGTCAGTAGCGACTTCCCGCGCAGAAAGTCCGGCTCGGCGCACGTCGCGCGCTCGATGTTCATGAAGTCTGTGTTGGGCAGTTTCTCGTTGATCCAGTCGACCATGGGGCAGATCGCGGCGCTGCAGACGAAGGGATTGTCCGCCAGAGCCACGCGGTACAGGCTTTTAGTGTCCCGGAACACGCCGGGGTGAACGTCCCGCAGGGCGGAGTTCGTCACGTCCAGATAGCGCAGGTTCGTCAGGCCCAGCAGGGACTTCTTCTTCAGCCGCACCAGCCGGGAGCTGCCGGACAGCAGCAGCGTCCTCAGGTTGGTCAGCGGCCGGAACGCGGGCTGCCCGATGTTCCTGATCAACGTGCCGCCGAGATCAAGCAGCTCTAGGCTCGGCAGGTGAGGAAAGGAACCTTCCTTCACCACTTTGATCGGGTTCCCTCGCAGACTCAGGTGTTTCAGGTAAGGTTTGTTCATGAGCTCCCGCGTCGGCACGGCCGCCATCTTGTTGTACTCGAGATGAAGCATCTGCAAACTCTCCAAACCGCGCAGGCTGTTGAGTTCGAGGGACGTAAGCCGCATGTTGCCCATAAACAACTGCTGCAGCCGCGTGAATTTCTCGAATGCGAGGGACGGGATGTTTTGGAAGAAGTTTCCTGCGATGGCGAGGTACTCCAGCTGGCCGGCTATCGGCGCTAACTCTTCCTTCGGGAAACTGCGGAGCCGGTTGGTGGAGAGGTATAGCGCGTCTAGTTTCGTGAGCGTCTTGAACGAGCCAGAAGTGAGCCCGTCATTCGTCAGCAGATTGCTCGTGAGATCCAACAATCTTAGTTCCGACAGATAGCCCAGCGCCCCCGGTGGTAGGGACGTGATTTTGTTGCGATAGAGGTACAGGTACCGCGTGGAGGCGGGGAGGTTCCGCGGTACCGCCGTCAGCTCGCTGTCACTGCAGTTCACGTACCACCGTCTGCATCGGCAGCCTGCCGGACAGTCGTCATACGCCGTCCGCTCCTCTGGCCAATCAGTGCCTTCCACGTAAGACGGCGTCGTCTCGAACTTGGCCTTGACCTTCTTCTTCCGCGGAGTTCTTGCAGGTTCGGTCGGTGCCGCTGTAGTTTCCGACTCCGCCTTCCTGTCTCCGGACTCCGGCGCCTTCAGCTCCTGTCGCTCTGTCAGGTTGATGGACGGTTCTGGGAGCGGGTCTTCTGTATTATTGTCTACGGTGTTGGTGGACTCGCGACTTTCCTTCTCTTCGCCTTTTGGAGCATCGACGTCAACCTTCGTCCCTGGTTCTGTTGTTGTTTTCTTGCCCTCAATTATGTCATCGTCCTTTTCCTTTTCTGGGATGACGACCGGTGAAGTGGTATGGTCTACAACCGAGTTTGTCGTTTGCTTTTCTTTATTTTCGTCCACATGATGTTGTTCCTCTTTATTGCTGATGGGAGAATCTGTATGACCTGCTGTACCCTTATCCGTAGTTTCCTTTTCTTCGTTCTCTACTTGTAATTTGTCGGTACCAGCTACATTGCCATCTCTGTCATCTACGTCATCAGTTCTATCATATACGTCATCAGTTCTATCATATACGTCATCAGTTCTGTCATCTACGTCATCACCTCTATCATCCACGTCATCACCTCTGTCATCCACGTCATCAGTCTCTGCGTCGATCGGAGGCGGATCGAGCGTCTCCTCGGTCAGCTCGTTTCCGGTCTCCTCTGCTTCCGGTTCCGGGGGCAGGATTTCCGGTTCCGGTGGCAGGATTTCCGGTTCCGGTTGGCAGACGCCCTCCGCGATGGTGACGTTGAGGTGCCTTCCCGCCAGCGCGTCGGGCGTGTTGCAGGTGATGTCGTCCCGGTTGGTCAGCTCCACCTGGATCCATATACAAAGAAAGACAAAGACAAATTGGAAACGGTACAGAATCAAGCTGCAAGATTCTGTATGAACAACTATGAAAGAGGTGCCAGTGTCTCGGAAATGAAAAGAAACCTACAGTGGGCCTCACTGGAAGACAGAAGAAAAATGTCCAGACTATGCATGATGTACAAAATGACTAATAAACTGGTGGTTATACCGGCTATACAGGTACAGATACAGATACCTCCGTGTCCTGTAGCCACCAGACCAGCCCGCAGAGCTCCGCGTCACAGCGGAACGGGTTCCCGGCCAGCGAGATGGACTGCAGAGACCACATGGTGTCCAGCGTGGTGGGCGGGAGCGCCGCTAAGCCGCAGCCGTGAAGCGTCAGGTACTTCAGCCTTGTTAACGACAGAAAGGCTGCGGGGTCCACCCTGCTCAACAACCTATAGTTGTATATAGTGTATAATATAATATAGTTCCCTGCAAACAAGTATTCTTAACCAAAGGATTCAGAATTATGTGCAATATTATATGTCTTTGTGAGCGTTTTTAAAACAAATTGTCTGTAAATTGACTGCAATTCAGTGATATTCTCACTTCGATAGCTCAATAAAGGTATCTTGAATCTTGAAAAAAATTTTTTTTAACCTGTTCCCATCCAGCAGCAGGACCACCAGATACGGCATCGCCTGGAACGCGTCCTCTCCCAGCTCTGTTAGCTGCATCTCCCCGAGATCCAGGTATTTCAGGACAGAAAGGCCGTCGATGGCTACCTCTGAGATGGGGTTACCTCGTAGACTGAGTTTTCTTAGCTCGCCGAGCTGTTTTAGAGCTTCGGTTGGGACAACAGACAGGTTGTTGTAGTCGAGATTCAGTGTCCGCAGCAGCGCTGGGCCTATGAACGTGTCGGGGGAGATGTCACTCAGCCCCGTTCTCGCCAACAGGAGTTCCCGCAGGTTTTTGAACTGTGAGAGTGCGCCAGGCTCAATCCTCCTAATGAGGTTACCCGAGAGGTCCAGGTTCTGGAGCTTGGACTGCAGTCCCCTCAGCTTCCGGTAGGGGAACGCCGTCAACCTGTTGAAATTAATAACAGTTTATTCATTTAAAAAAAATCCTCGCAGCCTGTACAAAACTTGCTGAATAACACTGATTTTTTACAGTTACTTGCCTGGAAAATACAAATTAACATTGCAATACGTCGATGAAGGTTAGACATCCAGGTAATACGATACGCCAAAAAGCAGTTACTCAAGCAACTGGATATGATTTTGGAAACGGTCATTCCAAAATCATATCCAGTTGCTTGAGTAAATGCTTTTTGGCGTAACATTGCAATACATATACAAACACGCGAACAACCTGTTGTCTGACAGCACGATGGTCTCGAGTTTTGCCAGATTGTCGAAGCAGCCTTCCTGGATGAACGGATTCGTCAGGAAGTTGTTCCCAAGATGCAGGACGGACAGATTTGGTACGTCTGAAAACGCCGCTCTGTAGATGATGGAGATTCTGTTGTTCTTCAGGTAGAGGTGCGTGGTTGTTGCGGGGATGTTGCGGGGGACGTCCCGGAGACCGGCGGCGTTACAGACCATCATCGGGCCGAAGCAGGTGCATCCCGCGGCGCAGGGTTGGGCGGAGGTCGCCGCGAACATCGGGCATAGACAGGCGAACAACAACCAGCACCGCACCAGCCACAGCCGCAGCATCAGGTTGCTTCGTACAGTCATGGCGTAAAGGGTTCTGCAACGATATAGGATGTTGTTAGTCTCATATAAGCTTTATTGCACAACAATTGCATGCTGTACATGTACAACTGGACTGACTTTGACGCAGGCCACATGTTGAGGAGACCTAATCAAGTACAAGTACATGAACAACGAATGTGTACAGCCAGGCCAGCACCGCAACAGGCTGCTCCGGCTGTACTAGTGATTCTGTAAGAATATAAAATGTTGGTAGTCACATACATGTAGATATAAGCTTTATTGCACAACAATTGCACGAGGTACAACTTTACAACGTATGGCATCTACTGCTATAGAACTAACATACATTACTGGCAACTCTCCAGTGTCACTGACGAAAGGTTGTGGATGCTACCTGAAACGTCTGACCGTTTCCAAAATCATATCCAGTTGCTTTTTTGGCGTATCTTATTACCTGTATTTCTAACCTTCACCTACATACACACATAGTTTAACAATCTGTGAGCCCATTATCCCGTCTATCTACTCTGGATTTATCTATGTACACTCCTTACTGATAGCGGGATCACGCGAGGAATGCAGGTCAAACCGCGCAGCCATGTACTTGGCTTTACTTCACAGCTGTCGTTCTAACATTAGATACACTGCCTGGTGCATGGCTTTAGATGAGGTAACGTTATTAAGAACCCCGGTCAAAGGTATGGATAGCTCGCATATCCAGACCCGTGCCTGGGGCAAATCAACGTTCTTGGATACGCCGAGACTATCCAGAACCGTGCCTGATCCTAACCCATTCATGCATAGAACTAGCTATATAGAAAGACAGGGTTCTGGATACAATAGAGACTATCTAGAACCGTGCCTGATCCTAACCATAACCCTTTCAGGTATAGACCTAGATAAGCACGTTTCTGGACACTGTGACAGCTGTAAGGCTCCTAACGTTAGATCCTCTGCCCGATGCCAGGCTTTAGCTGGAGCCATGCGAGGTGACTACACAGATGTGCCAAGCCTGTGGTATAAGTATAGAGGCCTGTGATATACGTACAAAGGCCAAAGGCAAGCAGCTACAGCCGGGCGCATTGCCAACAGTCTGTTTTCCTTCAGGCGATAAGCACAGTCATTACCAGCAGGGTCAAACTCCTTTTGGCAAGCGTTTATACAACAAGCCTGTGGTTCACCGGCAGTCATGGACATGCTAAAGCCGAGCGTTTAGACAACAGACTTGGGGTTCACCGACAGCCGTGGACGTGTTCTTTTTTTTTAATCTAGTACTCTCCAAGGCTTATTTTTGGCGTGTTTTTAGGCTTTTTTATATAGTTTTTTTTTTTTTTGCACTGGTATTTTTTTTTGGGGGGGGGGGGGGGTCTTGGCGTGAAAACAATTCCAGTGCAAAAAACGAAATCTTAATTTTAAAAAAAGCTAAAAGACGCCAAAACTAAGCCAAAAACCAAAACCTTTCCTTGGAGAGTGCCTATCTAGTTCTATGCCTGAATAGGTTAGGGTTAGGATCAGGTTCGGTTCTGAATAGTCTCCGCGTATCCAAGAACGTGGATTTGCTCCAGGCACGGTTCTGAATACGTGTGGACCGTCTAGAACCGTGCCTGATCATGGTTCTGGATACGGCACTGTTTTGGATACGTGTGGACTGTCTAGAATCGTGCCTGAGCTTGGTTCTGGAAGCAGCACATGTTGGAGCCAACCTCGCGTTTATACAACAGACTTGCGGTTCACCGGCAGCCACGGACGTGCTGACTCTGACAGCTTTGTTAGGTGTGATTATCGCTGCCACCAATCACGACAGTTTTCGGTAAGACAGTCTCCCGGTAGAACTGACTCAGGGCTGCATCATGATCAGTGATCATCATCTGGAGAAAAGAGGCATCTGGGTGACTGACCTGTAGGGTAATACCAGGCTAATGGCCTTTCTTTGGACCAGTGATAGAAGTAACAACTGTCATCAGCCGAAGCTGTATTGTTGTAGCGGATCAGCAGAGGGCAGGCAGTGTTGATGTGGAACTTTAGCACGTCCATGGCTGCCGGTGAACGCCCTGGCCGTGAACCTGAACTACCAGGTGATGGAGTGGAACCGCAGACCACATGTAACTTGTGGTGACTAATCTACCTTACAAACACTATGTCCCATGGGGAGAGGATGTGCTTTTACCATTAGGCGTGGTATTTCTACAATTTTTTGAGATATTTTCCTACATGTACAATCCATGGGTTGTCGCATGTCAATGTGTTCTTCAATTTGCTATCACTATCCATTGATAGAAATCCTGTTGTTAAATGTGATAGACGTATATGTAGTGAGTAACGCCAATCAAAATATTTGCGACACGCTTTTCAGTAAAACAACTTCCGGCTGTGCCCACAGAATGACGCCCTGGCCGTGAACCAGACCTACCCGGTGATGGAGTGGGTTACCACATGTAACCTGTTGAGAGACACACATTTGTACTTGTCACTAACGACAGCTAACCTCAGTCAAGCCAGGGTCAAACAGAAGGTCAAGCGTGAATTATCCGAGATGGATTCAAGCTTTCACACAGAATGATGCCCTGCTCGTGAACCAGAACTACCCGGTGATGGAGTGGAGCCTCAGACCACATGTAACCTGTTGAGAGGCACAGAAGATGGAGCGAAGCCTCGGACACTCTCTGTTGATCTCCAAGCAGGTTCTATGTGGCAAGGGGACTTTATGTTGGCTGCCTGTATCCACGAGGGGCGGACGATGGTTACAGGCGGCCAACATAAAGTCCCCTTGCCACATAGAACCTGCTTGGAGATGGAGTTCGTGCCACCCTAGCTCATGGTTCCCACCACATGTAACCTGTTGAGAGGCGCGTATTTGTACTTGTCACTAACGCCAGCTAACCTCAGTCAAGCCAGGGTCAAAGAAAAGGTCAAACCGTGGAAACCGTAAAGTACCTGTGATGGGTTCAAACTTGCAATGGCACCTTGCTCATAGTGATTTTGGCCACATTTTAATCTCCAAGCAGACTCATACGGTGGCAAGGCATGATCCATTGGCCAGTGGATTATGGACACTCCCCTGGCCAATGGACACTGCCTTGCCACCGTATGATCTGCTTGGAGATTAGCCCTGTAGCCTCCATAGCATGCCAAAACTGGGGTTTTGGGGGTCTTCGGGGTCTTTGGGAGCTTTTATGTGCTATTTTCGGATTGCATATAGACAACATAGCCGGCCTGGTTGAATTACCCCCGTTTTTATTAGAACTGGGCTAATCAGAAAACAGCCTAAGACCACCAAATCCCCAGTTCTATAAGCCTGCTACGGAGGCTAATCAGAAAACAGCCGAAGACCACCAAACCCCCAGTTCTATAAGCCTGCTACGGAGGCTATGCCCTGGCCGTGAACCAGAACTACCAGGTGACGGAGTGGAACCGCAGACCACATGTAACCTGTTGAGAGGCGCGCATTTGTACTTGTCACTAACGACAGCTAACCTCAGTCAAGCCAGGGTCAAACAGAAGGTCAAACGTGTTTCTACTTGGAATCCGTAAATTACTCGAGTGATGGGTTCAAGCTTGCGGTGACACCTTGCTCATGGCGATTCTGGTCAATGACTTGAAGTTGTACCCACCAAACGCTCTACTTGGAGATGACGAAAACGGTACTGAGACAGACAGCTTTAATACTCGTACCCCTGTCGAAAAGCATGCACTCCCAGTCTATTCCTACTGAGAATAATCTCCAAGCAGATCCCTTCGGTGGCAAGACAGTGCCCATTAGCTAGAGGGGTTTGCATGGCCACCGGTGGCTAATGGACACTCCTCTGGCCAATGGATACTGTCTCAAGCCACCGTATGATCTGCTTGGAGATTATTCTCAGTAGGAAGAGACTGAGGTCCCAGGGCGCTGCCTCTGACAGCTTTGTTAGGTGTGATTAGCGCTGCCACCAATCACGACAGTTTTCGGTAAGGCAGTCTCCCGGTAAGCTAAGGTCCCAATTACGCCGGTGCCCGTCGGGGATGTAGCCCCGGCTGGCCCCGGCCGGGTTCAGGAGTCGAGCGGGCATCGTCTGTCGTGGTCACAATTAAAAGTTTCCTTCAGTAGCATTTCGTTAGAAATTTTGTCACCCTCTTTGGTCGGTATCCGGCAGGCACCCGGCAGGTACCCAGCAGATTCTCTGACGATGTCTTGTATTGACCTATACGTAATGCAGAATTCACGTATTTGTTGTGATCATTTCATCTGTGAGGTCGATTGTCACACATTTTACCCGGGTTTACGAAGTACACACCTTTATTCTGTTCATCTGGTCTGTGACGTAAGAAATGTGTCCCGGTGGAATGCCGGCAACCGGAGGGGTACCTCCCGGTGTTCTCACGATGAGGTCACGGCGTCTTGTTGTTAGCGAGGCCCGGGTAGAATTTAACTCAGAATTAAATTCTTATCGGGGCCCCGACGGGCCAAAAAATATCCCGGTAGCCGCAGGGTGCCCCGCGGGGCCACGTCGGGGTCCCGCCCGAAAGTGGTAAAAAACAGCCCGGGAACTACCCGCCAGGGCCCCTTTTCCCAATTGGGACCTTAGCTGTAGAAGGGACTCCCGTGGGGTCTGCAGACGGCACCTACAGTGGTATTGTCGGAGAACTGGCCTCACGCCAGCTCAGGGAACGAGCTTAACGTCAACGTATACATCCCATCTTCACGCATCTATACACCTCTTATACGAGTACGTAAAGATCAACGTTAAGTGGTCTTTCCGTAGGTGCGGACGGATCCTTATTTTCCTGTTTCTCGTAGCCTTTCAGCAACTTAAAGACGTCGTAAATAACGGTTAAAACATGTATACATTGTAATTAAAGTTGACAGCTTTGTTAGGTGTGGTTAGCGCTGCCACCAATCACGACAGCTTGCAGTAGTCGGTAGGACAGTGTGCAATATGCAACCCTAAGCAACAAATAAGACACCGATACAAAAAAAAAAGCCTAAAAAGACGTCAAAACTAAGCATAATCCTCTGCTTGGAGAGTGTGTTCTATTTACTCGCC